TTGAAATAATGGTTTTTTTTGCGCAGAAGCATGTTCATACGTAATTTGCAATTGGTAATCACTAATCACAGATGGAAAAGTATATACGTCAACGATATGTTCTCTTATTTTTGATTTATTTTAACAGGTATAATATATGGTATGTTACTTATAGTATAGATTTTTTTATTTCTCGATCTAATTTATTTGTTACGTCTTCAGCAATTGTCGCAATTTCAGTTGACATAAACGAATTGATAAAAATTGTTTTTCGCATTTCATTTTGACTGTTTCTCTTACTTTGGAATAGAAATTGAGCTTTGTAAACTTAAAATTACGGATATGTCAAACTAAAACTGACGGTAAAATGAAACATTGAGTATCGTTAAATGCAACTTTTGAACTAGTTTCAAAAATAGCATTAAAATGATATTATCATTCACAATGTACTAATTTCCTATACTTTTAGTTGATAAATAACAGATAATCATACATCATATAACAAATAGGCGCGTGTCAAAAGGTCACCGGTGAAAAAAGAGTGCCGATGAAAAAAGGTCGCGAGCAATTGATCGCGCGAAAAAAAGGCGAGTAGGAAAATAGTGCCTAACAATTTTGTTTTGAATATCTTTATATTGCAGGTAACCTTTTGAAGTATTTCTCTATTACCTATTTACCTATTAAAAAAAACAATTGGTTTATTATTTCTTTAGATAATTAGGTACCAATAAGCTGGTTACCTACCTACTTACTGGTTACTTATTCTAAGTAAATCTATAATTACAGACGAACCCCGTTAGCTGTTAATAAGGCTTTAATATTAATATTTATATTATTATATTTTAATCCCAATAAAAACATTAATTTATTTCACAATGTACTTTAGATAATTACCAATAAGCTGGTTACTTATTCTAAGTAAATATGATTACAGGCGAACCCCGTTATCTGTTAATATAAGGCTTTAATATTGATATTTCTATTATTATCTTTTAATCGCAATGAAAAACATTAATTTATTTCACAATTTACTTAGGTCTAGGTAGTATATTTAATAAATAAACTATTTAAAAATCCATACAAGAATAGAAAATAAATTAGCAGACAATTACTACTTTCCAATTGTATCATTTAAACAGTATCAGAGGCAGTATTATCATCTCGTATATCCCCCGTAAACACCACATAATATAAACGGAAATAATCAAATACTATACTCAAACAAATAATGATTGAGAGTGAACCGTGTTGTCATATCTCAATTTTACCTTACTAGTTTTTAGCAGAATCAAAATAGAGTAAGTAGTAGAGTTGTAAGTTGTGGCAAATTATAGATAATATACAATCATAGTACTAATAAAAGATATTAATTATAACAAAAATCAGTAATACGTATACATTTCTTGATCATTTAAAATTAATTATTTTATGGATTGTTCAGTATTTGTTACAACTAATGGCATCGGTGTACGGAGCGATATTTGTGTCTTTGTCTGTTACGCGTAAAATCCATCTCGTCGATGACGTTCTCAGTAGTGTATTTCTAACCACGAGCGTAACATCGGGTTTTGAATTATACGGTGTGAATTGTAAGTTTTACAATTGGTGAAAATATTAGTGCTAATAAGTGTTTAAACATTAAATAATAATATTTCTACACCGTTCTAAAACTATGCAAAAAATGGAAGACATTGAAGGGCCTTCAACGTCGAAAAAGGTAAAACGGTCGAAGTCTCGGTCGCTAAGTGAAAAACAAATTGTACTTCGAGTATTTCACTGTCTTGAAAGAGATCATCAGCGACCAAAAGATAACTTAGTGCATATGTGCTGTAATTCTACGGATGTACCTCCGAATAACCAACCGGGCGTTCCAACATCATTAACTTCCACAATTACAAAAGATAAATTAGTTGATATGTGCTCTGATTATACGGGTGTACCAAAATCATCAGTTTACAAAATACTAAGAGAAAACAAAATTCATGGGGAAGTACAAACGCCAAAAACTAGTAGCGGAAGAAAAAAATCACAGTTGATGAAGAAGCCAAAAACAGTATACGCACAACTATTCACAGTTTCTTTTTCAGAAATGAGCTGCCCACTTTGCAAAAAGTTCTGGAGGCAGTTAGAGGTGTGTGAATACGTCTTGTTTATGTTTTCATTTACGCCGTGACTTGCAGTAGTATTTTATAAACCTTAGAAGCAAATTTAACATACATAAACAAATAATAATAATGCCGTAGACGAATGCCGAAGACGAAGTAACGACTTCTCGGAGGGTGGCGGCTTCACCGCCACCATAAAATTTCAATCCATACCTGGCTACGCCGACCGGAATAAACACCAACATGCGCACTACAAATGATTAGTGTTATCCCCGATACGCGAGTACCAACACCTTCATTGCGCTTCGAAGGTTCCATCATGACAGGCGTTCGTTCTTGCTTAGTTTCACTTCTATCAGGTACCTACCGTACAGCTACCGGTACGATTGTCGATTCGTAGTGGTTTTAGAGAGTTTGCGCGAACTGTATACATTTCCCATTTTATTGCAATTCCAACACTAGTTACTTCGTCTTCTTATCAATATAAGGCGTGTATTGAACAACTTTAAATTTTTATTATTTATTTTCCTTTCCTATCTGTGTACATATAAGAAAAGTATAGGAATCATTATTTTTTCGACCTCGAGTTTTTGACGGATTTTTATGTTTTGGGGTCCCCTGAATCCGTTATGACTATTTTCACGATGATGTCTGTGTGCATGTGCGCGTGTGTGAATACAGAAAAAAACACCAAATTTTAAACTTCACCTTTATTCTGGCCTGCGGTGGTCTGCATTAGATATTTGGCAGTGTTGGAACATCTGGGGGGTACTTTATACAGAGTCATTTTTATATTTTATTTTGCATACACCGTTGTAAAGAGGCTTCCAAGACCTTACAAATGAAGTATCACTCAACCCCTCTTCTCTATTCAATTTTGAGGGGTTGAAGCGCCCCCTCATATTGGGTTGCTCGTTCAAGCCTCCAATATACGTCAAAAGATGTCCCCCAAAGAAAATCATCCGACGTGTTTCTGAAAATTTTTCCAATTACTATGGGATAAGAAATATACGGGGTGGCTCGTCTGAGATGGAACAGCCAGTATGGATATATGAAAGCGGCTACAATGTATAATAGGCTGCCGACATTCGGCTGGGCGGACATGCCCTACCTATATATGCCGAAGCTGTAACCGTATATCGGGCCGAGTCCGGCATCCGGTAAGCCTCCTTCGGCCCAGTTACGGTGATAAGTTCTTTCATTGCACGAAAGGCGCGAATGTTGGGAAAACCACCCAGACAACACACCAAATCCCATACCCACAGAATATCTTTTGTGGATATCCAATATATCCACAGTATATCAGAAATATTCCGTGGATCTAATATAGATATCCAAATGTCCGTCTATATCCCAGATAGCACAAAGTCGTCTTAAAGACGTCTTTAAGACGTCTAGCATAAGACATTCGAGACGTCTTTAAGACGTCTGGTATTTCCTGAAAGACGTCTTTAAGACGTCTGATGTTACAAAAAGCGACGTCTTTAAGACGTCTTATTAATGGCTTATATTGGTCTGTAGAGCTTAAAATAAGCCATAAATAAGACGTCTTTAAGACGACTTATTAATAGCTTATAATGGTCTTGTAAAGCCTTAAATAAGCCATAAATAAGATGTCTTTAAGACGTCTTATTAATGGTCTTGTGAAGCTTTAAATAAGCCATAAATAAGACGTCTTTAAGACGACTTAGTAGCTTATAATGGTCTTGTGAAGCCTTAAAAAAGACGTCTTTAAGACGTCTTATTAATGGCTTATAATGGTCTTGTGAAGCCATAAATAAGACGTCTTAAAGATGTCTTATGAACGTAGGATGTCGGATGTTATTAAAAAGTAGAACAATCTTGCAGATTATAAATAATGCAAAAAATAGAATTAAAATATTTATTGATAAAACATCTATTAATCACAGGTCACTAAGAGTTATTTTCTTTGTAGCGCATTCGATCACTCCTCTTTAGTCATAACTGGATTGATTTTTCTCTTTGATTTTTTTTTCTCTTTGTATAGCTCCTAAAAAAAAATTTAGTTTCTTAACTAAATTTTCTGTGACTAGATGCTCTTGCATCTAGTCACAGAAAATTATACTTTGCAAAAGTTAGTAAAAACCGACAGAACAGCCCAACGTCGCTTTTGGTGGCTATAATCGTGTACGCAATAAAATAATCAATAATCCACAATGAGCTTGGGCCATACAAATTTTTGGCTTGGGCTTGAATGTATTTCTTCTTTTCTTCGTTTTCACTTTTCCACTGCACTTGATATTTGATTTCTCCAAATTACTATTATTTATGGACATTCGCATGTCTATAAATTACAGCTCATGGATATAAAATAGATATCCACCATGGACTGGACATTCAGTGGATATCGGGATGTTCAGTAGATATCCAAAGGATTTGGTGTGCTGTCTGGGCAATAAAATTAATAGAGTTTTAAACAAAAAATACAAGCAAAACTTGAAAAATAGAAATTTATTATATTAAAATAATCACATTCTGCAAAAAAACTAAAATGTGAAAAATTAATGTTAGGTATATTTAGTGGATGTCCATGGGATATTGAATACACCTTAAAAAATTAATTTTTAATATCTGAACGGTACTATTAGCCACAATGGCGTAATTTTTTAATAATTTGCTATATAATTACTATTATTTATGGACATTCGCATGTCTATAAATTACAGCTCATGGATATAAAATAGATATCCACCATGGACTGGACATTCAGTGGATATCGGGATGTTCAGTAGATATCCAAAGGATTTGGTGTGCTGTTTGGGCAATAAAATTAATAGAGTTTTAAACAAAAAATACAAGCAAAACTTGGAAAATAGACATTTATTATATTAAAACAATCACATTCTGCAAAAAAAAAACTAAAATGTGAAAAATTAATGTTATTTGTTTTTATTGTCACTATCATTAATATACAGGGTGTCCCGAAATTAAACGGTCATATTTTAACAGCGTAATCTACATCCTAAAATAGGAATAAAAGTTCATATAAACATAGGACGTTTCGTTTTCGAGATACAGGGTGTTACAAGTGAAGTCCTGATGGCACATTTTTGTAAATATTTTCTAAAATTTCTTTAGTCACCGGTTTTCCAAAGTAAAAAAAAAAAATAAAATTTTTGATTTCACAAGCCTACTAATTATTGTTTACATTTTCGAATAAGATAACATCAAACTTATCATGACATTTTCAAATGCTTTTTTTCTTGAAAATGGTGCAAGATGCAACAAAAGAAGCTTTATTATAAAGAAAACATTTGCTTTCCAAATTTTATAGTCATATTAAAAACTGTCAACAAAAAAACTTAGGGCAATTTTACCCTAAGCCCCCCCCTAATTTTCCCACCTATGAAGATGATCAAAAACTGGGTTTAGTCCATTAAATAGAGGGTAAAAAGGTAAGTATTTTTACCAAATTTCACTTAATTATCTTTTAACGTTTAGAAAATATTTACAAGAGTGTCATCAGGACTTCACTTTTAACACACTGTATCTCGGAAAAGAAACATTTTCGGACCTATGTTTATATGAACTTTTACTCCTATTTTTAGGATGTAGATTATACTGTTAAAATATGACCATCTAAAACTTTTTGGTCGATGCTGTATATTATTTCCATCATTTATTTATCTTTTTGGTATATATCTCTTAATGGGATATATTATATTATTTTGTAATTGGATCTGCTGGACCTATGTTTTAAAGTGTAAGATAAATAAATCAACAAATAACATATACAAATTTTTATTATATTAAAAATAAAATTTAAACAAATATTTTCATAGTACTCTCTATATCGTTTCTACAAATTGGGCAAGTATTATTATACAGTTGTAGCCTGGAGTGGCATTCAGTACACATACAAACATGTCTGCAAGGTAGAACCAAAATGCATTTAATGCGTTCTTGACAAATTATGCAAAATCTCTCATCAGCCATTTCATTTTTGACGTCAACTGAAGTAGTGCTGTATGTTCTTCTTAATTGTGGTATTCTACTTATTGGAGGTCTACAGTTAACAGCTGGAACAGTTCTTTGCTGACTTAATGGCATTCTTTGAAATTTATTTAGAATACTTCTTAGCACATATTTCATTTTAGAATATAGAAATGAAAATATTGTTAAGTAAAATTGAGTTAAGAGGTAAATTAAACATATAGCTATTCCTAGACCAATCACAGATTCAACTGGAACATCAGTCACAAAGAGATAAATTTCTTTAATACAGTCTTTTGTAAATTTGGTTATGTCAATTATTGCAGCAAATATGAATCCGGGGGTTGACTGTAGTATGTAAATGAATAAAATTAATACATTCCATATAGAATAAGGAACCAATGTAACTACAAACCAAACTCCTGATCCAAACAGAACAATTACATATTTGCATAATCTGAACACTGCTACTACTACAGCTCCCAAATTTATTATAGATTTTTGAAAGTGATTAATTCCATCAAACACACCATTATTTAGAATATCAAAGAGATCGCTTATTCTCCAAACTCCAGTTGATATACCATTTGAAATGCCTTCCTGTATTTGGCCTAGGAGAATCACAAATTGTTGAAATCCATGAAAAATATCCTGACAGAAAATTGTAAATGATTCGAATATTATAACAAATATATCAGTCAACTCCTTGAGAATCAGCAGTAAATTATTTGATATCAAACTGATAGCTTGAACTAAACATTGTCCAATTTTTAAACTATAATATAAACTGTAATACACAAAAGTCTTTAGGAAATCTATTACTGATAGAATATCTTCAAATATTTGCCTCATTTTTAAACATTCTGCAATAAAAAGAAAATGTATCTTTTTCAAACTTCATTCAAATATCCGTTATTTTCTATTTTTATTATGGTTGTTCTCTTCTTCTTCTTTTTGATTACTCCCAATTCAATAACTTTTGTTAATATGTCATACAGCCAGGTAGCTATTTTTATTATAGACACAGGTCCACATAAACAGAACTGGGCTGAGTCGTCCTTCAACGAAAATCGAAGTTCGGTTATATCGCGTGAATTTAGAAATGGGAAGTAACACATCCGTAAATGTACTTAACAGTTACAGATTTGGTAATATCCATCTCTAAATTCCAGTGTAACAGCGGAACCACCTAGAACTTTAAGTTGTTGTAACCGAACTTTGATTTTAGTTCAAGGACGACTTACCCAAGTCCGATTCAGCTTAGTTCTGTTTATAAATACGGACCTGTGATACGGACCACACAGATTACCATCTAATACATTTTTTTTTTAAATTAATGGGTCGATTCTGAGACAATCTGTAAGATTTGTAAGCCAAAATCTGTAAAATATTACATTATGGGTGAGATTACAGAACGTCTGCAACTTTGCAGATCTGCAAATATGGCGGACTTACAAATGCAAGTATTCCAAAAAATATCTGCAAATTCGCAATATTTATTGTGGTTTATTACCCCCAACAACACTAAAACCAAATTTGGAATACGAAAACTTGATACTCGCATGTGTAAGTCAGTCATATTTGCAGATTTTCAAAGTTGCCGCCATATTTGCAGATCTGCAAAGTTGCAGACGTTCTGTAATCTCACCCTATATTACTATATCTTACAGATTCTGTAGCTTATAGGATATTTTCTAGCTATATCAAGCTAGCGGGCACTCTGTGGCGGCACCATTCAAGACCTGGCGGGTTTTTTGTAGCTTTTTTGTTACACTATTTGCAAATTTGTAGCTTAGCCCAGGTCCGAAAAAACAGCGGATCCGCTAGCTTGAATTTCCATAAATTCCATAGTAGCGGCACAGATTCAGACCCAGCTGGTTTTTTGTAGCTTTTTTGTTACGCCAGTCTCCCTTTGTAGCTTGTACTGAACCTGAGAAAAGCGCGGATCCGCTAGCTTAGCGGATATTTGTAGCGGCACCAGCCCGGACCCGGCTCATTTTTTGTAACTTTTTTGTAGCTTTTTTGTTACGCCTGTCTCGATTTCGTTGCGAGGCCTGAACGTGAGTAATAATCGTTTCTCCATGAGCGTGAGAGAAAAGTGCGTTAATTTAAAATGAAGTTTCGGCCTCTACAAGTAATATATGCAACTCGATAGTGTGACTATCTGTTGCTAGATGGCACCAGTATTGTATTTCACGAATTATGGCCATCTTCCATCCAATATATTTTTGAGAAATTTAGATATAATCTCAAAATCGGACATTTTCAACGGTATGTATATTAATTATTTGTCCGATATTAATGTAAAATACATATTGACAAGATTATTATAATAGTTTTAGGCCGGACGCCACTATTTTCCCGATCGGGTGTTTTCGGTTATTTTTACTGCTAAAAACTTACTGCTAACTTCACACTATATACAGGGTGTTCCATCTCAGACGAGCCACCCCGTATATATAGTTCTTATCTCATAGTAATTGGAAAAATTTCCCGAAACACGTTTGATGATTTTCTTTGGGGGACATCTTTTGACGTATATTTGAGGCATGAACGAGCAACCTCCTATAAGGGGGCGCTTCAACCCCTCAAAATTGAATAGGGAAGAGGGGTTGGGTGATACTTCATTTGTAAGGTCCTGAAAGCCTCTTTACAACGGTGTATGAAAAAAATCACATTCTTAAAAAAAAATCAATTGTTTTATCATGCTTACAATCAAAAAAATCAAAACTGCGTTTTTAAATAAAATGTTCAATTTGTCTTCCATTGACTTCCATGCAATAATAAATTCTCTCGAACTAATAAATAAAAAAAATCAAAACATTTTCTTATCTTGCCTTCATTTTTTGTTCTTAGAAGGTGTTTATCACGTTTCTTCGATCATTTCATGTGATAAAACAATTATTTTTTTTTAAGAATGTGATTGTTTTCATACACCGTTGTAAAGAGGCTTTCAAGACCTTACAAATGATGTATCACTCAACCCTTCTTCCCTATTCCATTTTGAGCACATACTTTGATTTTCTTTTACTATACGGAGAATGGTCGCACTGCGCAGCTTTCTGAGTGCCTTTTAAAAGGAGATAGAAAACTCCGCCATTTTGAACCCTTATTACGTGTTGCCTACATCTTGGCGCAATATTTTTAATAGGTGCGTTTTAATCATCCGCTTCTGCTTCGGAATTGTCAGTTTTCTTGTTTTAATCTGACAGGTTAAAACGACTAAACCGACAATTCCGGAAGCAGGAGCGGATGATTAAAACGCACCTGATATTTTGCTTGCTGCTGTCAGTGTCAGTGAATATTATTTTTGAAGTCACAGTTTATTGCTAAATAATCAGTTAGCTCACTCGGACCAGTTGAAAGTTCCAAAATAACATCCACTCCAGGGATACAAATTCAGGATACGCAGAAGACTGCTGTTTTATTATAGGCGGTTGTCATATATTGTATTAACCGAGTTGCACAGTGTATAAACTGAAACATTGAGATCCAAAGTGCCGACGCAGAGTGAGCGATCTGATTCTTTAGCTGTAAACTGTGTCACAGGGTTCAAAATGGCCGCGCCCTATGTTGGGCGTGTCGGACCTCTCTCTTGCTTCGTATAGTAATCAAATGGTGAGTTCGGTCTACGCACTCTTTTCACTATATTCACTCCTAAAGTACCTAAGGCGTTCGGGTACGGAAGGAGTTAAAATAAAAGTTCCTCTTTGACCGTTCGGAGATGGTGGAGTGGAGTGTGGATCGGGCATGCGCATAAGGTGATTTAAATCGATAATTAGTTAATTGTGACTGATTCTTTAGTAAATAAGTTTTTTTTTTGTTCCCGTGAATATCATTAATATGGAAGAAACTTATACGGTCGTTACTGATAAGTACGATTAAATTTTAAGTACTGGTATGTAACATTGACAACTGACATTGCACTCCGAGAGTTAAAGGAGTAAACTCATATTCGCACTCCGTTTACGCCTAATTACTCCACTCCACTCTAGAGTGCGCAGCCCGAACTCACCTAAAGTATGTGATTTTGAGGGATTGAAGCGCCCCCTCATAGGGGGTTGCTGGTTCAAGCCTCAAATATACGTCAAAAGATGTCCCCCAAAGAAAATCATCCGAGGTGTTTCGGGAAATTTTTCCAATTACTATGGGATAAGAAATATCCGGGGTGGCTCGTCTGAGATGGAACACACTGTACAGTTGTGATTCGACAGAATTAAACACTGGTCCAAAAATACTGCAAAACGATTGATTAAGGAAATCATCAAAAAAGATGTAAGAATATTCTTGATTCAACAAAAGTATAAATACATAAACAACACTAAAAAACATTTAAAAACAAATGTGCGATTTTGAGATTATGGGTGCTATGATTGAACGTTTACGTTATCCGTAACGTACATGTTAGGCTCAGTTTTAACAGTAATTAGGCAAGTTCGTATGATGAAAAACGGTTTCCAACACATTACTGTTATTTTCCGCCTGTTATGTTCTAATTTAACAGTTTTCCATCATACAAACTTGCTTCGTTACTGTTAAAATTCGACCTAACATGTGCGTTATGGATAACATAAACGTTCAATCATAGGACCCTATATCTAAATTTCTCAAAAATATATTGGATGGAAGATGGCCATAATTCGTGAAATGCAATACTGGTGCCATCTATCAATAGATAGCCACACTATCGAGTTGCACTTATTACTTGTAGAGGCCGAAACTTGATTTTAAATTAACGCACTTTTCTCTCACGCTCATGGAGAAACGATTATTACTCATGTTCAGGCCTCGCAACGAAATGGAGACGGGCGTAACAAAAAAGATACAAAAAAGTTACGAAAAACCAGCTGGGTCTGAATATGTGCCGCTACTATGGAATTTATGGAAATTCAAGCTAGCGGATCCGCTGTTTTTTCGGACCTGAGCAAAGCTACAAATTCGCAAATAGCGTAACAAAAAAGCTACAAAAAACCCACCAGGTCTTGTACGGTGCCGCCACAGAGTGCCCGCTAGCTTGATATAGCCATATTTTCTAGAATCCTACCATAACAAAATTATCTGAAGGTAACTGAAAACTAAATAAGTACATAACCCAATTTTAACAAGAAAAAGATGCCTATCTGTCTATTTCATGTCAGTAAATCAAGTTGGTAATATAAGCATTATGTACCGTGCTATAAGGTCGTTTTTTGAATATAAATATAATTACATGTAGTGTTTTTAAAAACTCAACGTTCATTTTTGATTTTTGGTTGCAACATTTGCCAGAGTTTCGTTGCTGTGCTATATTGGACATAAAATTATTGAAAATAACAAGAATGGCTTCTTTAAACATTGATTCACTTACCTCAGCTTTAGAAGGAACACGTGTTAGTGACAGCGGGGTTAGTTTTGCAGGAAAATCATTAAAATTAAATACTGAAGATGATGGTAAGTTATAAAAAAAACATCGTGGGATGATATATCAATAAGTATTATTTTAATTTCAGCAAAACAAGTAACTAACGAAATTGATAATTGTTCGAATCTGCAGTTTTTAAATCTTGAAGGCAACACTTTAGGTGTTGATGCTTCCAAAGAAATTGCTAAATCCTTAGAGAAGCATCCTGAGTTCAAAAGAGCATTATGGAAAGATATGTTTACAGGCAGAATGAAATCGGAAATCCCACAAGCTCTGGTACATATTTGTTATATTTAACGTCTGTTATTTACTTTACGTCCAACATACGGATCTTTTTCTTTATTTTAAATTTATTTCATGCTTCAATACCCTCAAGTATTCTCCTCATATCATTATATTAGCCCTTGAGTGACCCATTTCCTTGTCCTTAAAGACCTTTTTTCATATTCCTTCATTTATTTTTTAGGTTAGGTTATAGGACGTAAAGTAAACAAACAATTATTTAACAAAATGAGTTGTGTGTACACTCAAATTTATTCACTATGCAGAGTGTTTCAAAAAACATGGGCTAACGTTCAATGGTAGATTCCTCACATTAAAAACGGTCTGATTCTACTTCGTTTTGGAGTCAAAATAAAAAAAAAGAGAATTTTTCCCAAAATTTAAAAAACCACTAGAAAGATTGATATGAGATTTGGCAATTAGAAACAGCCAGTGGAGGCTCGTGACCAATATATTGGAGGTTCACAATGACAGAATATAGGTCTCAGTGCAGTTGTAGGTAAAAAACTTTCAGTGTTTTAAAAGGTATATTATCTTATAATAAACACAAAGTATTTTACCTACAACTGTACTGAGACCTATATTCTGTCATTGTGAACCACCAATATTTTGGTCACTAGCCACCACTGGAAACATTCAACTGGAGACATATTCTGATATGTCGATGGAATGACCAGGACTGGACTTACAGACAGGTTCATAAACAAATTTGAAAATAAACTTTTTAATTTATTAAATAAAAAATGTTCAACATGTAGGTAAAATAAAAACAGTACAGGCAAATCACATGCATTTGATCAACATATTAGAATATGCTTGGGTTGGATGTTTCTAATCGCCCAAATCTCATGTCAATCTTTCTCATAGTTCTTAGGTCTTGGGAAAAAATATAATTTTTTTAAATAAAGCAGAATTGGGTCTGTGTTGGGGTCTTATTTTTATGTGAGAAATCTATCCTTGAACTTTGACCCATGTTTTTGACACACCATGTATGTATATATTGTGAGAAATGTGAGACCACAGTGTATAATGGATGCAGTTTACACTTTGGAAGTATACCATTTACTTATTCTTTTTAATGCATACATCTTATTAAAAATATATGATTTTAGCAATATTTAGGTAACGGTCTTGTAGCTGCAGGTGCAAAGTTAACTGAATTAGATCTTAGTGACAATGCCTTTGGTCCCATTGGCGTTGAAGGGCTAGCTTCTCTGCTTAGGAGTTCCTCTTGTTATCAACTCGAAGAATTGCGCCTAAATAATAATGGTTTGGGTATTACAGGTGGTAAATTACTGGCTTCAGCCTTAACTGATTGCTATAAATGTAGTAAAGAAAAGGGAAAGCCCTTGGCATTGAGAGTTTTTATTGCTGGACGAAATCGACTTGAGAATGATGGTGCTAAGGCTCTTGCAGCTGTTTTCAAGGTAATTTTTTATATGTAGAATATTATTCATTTATTGGATAAGTGGGGTGTATCTCAGGGCCCAGTTCTTCGCTAATACTGTTTTATGTGCCTTAAAAAGTTCTGTACAAATGGGAGAAAGTAGTATCTTATATTTCACAAAAAAAAAAAATAGTCTTTATAAAAGGTTCTGCATCACTTGGAAATCAAGCAATAACTTTTGTAAAATGTAAAATAATGATTTATAATGAAGAGTAAAATACTTTTAAATTTCAATATAGAGCAAAATTTAATTAGAATGTTGATAAGGATTAAACAAAATATGCTTAAGTTTAAATCATATTCAAATTAATATTTTTCAATACGTAACAGTAGCTACTTGTTTTTAAGTGATTTTGATTTACTTTATTCAATAAATAATCCAAAACCAATGCTAAAATGTGTATTGGTAATTTTTTAATTTTACAAAGTTCATGCTAAATTATGTATTTCCAAGTAAGGCAAAACTTTGTATTAGGAATAATTTTTGTCAAATGTAAGATAAACTTTTCATTTGTATAACATTTTTTGGGACATACTGTATATAGTATATACAAATGATCTAGCTTTCCTTGCTATTTCTGTTAGAATTCTCTTAAAATACCATAATTACTTCATTAATTTAAAGAGTAAAACCACAGATTACCCACAACAGATGCGAAAGTTGACAAAGAACATTAAAATGAAGAGAGACATAGATGGCCATACCAATTTAAAGGTCCTTCTTAGTAACTCATTTCTATTCGAACAGTTTCGAATGCAAAAGTTGTTTCATTATGCAAAGGTTTATCGATGTTATGGGACTTTGAACTTTAAGTCAAATGAAAAATGTACATATAATACATTTTTTACATGAGGTACATAAGAGTGTTAGAAGATAGACAATTATCATATACAATATACAGGGTGTTTCATAATATTGCGCAGGACTTCAGGACGTGATAGCTTATCCAAAAATATGAAAAACAGTTTCTATTAACTTACCCTCTAAAATGCACCATTTTTGAGATACAGGGTGTTGAAATTGAAAAAAAAAATTCTACGCCACTGGAAAAAGTACGGTTTTGAGACGCCCATTTGAACCGCCAATGTTTTCTACACCAAAAAGGTACTCTTGGTCATACGCTCTAAAGTCGACCGTTTTCAAGAAAACTCAAATTTTAATGTTGAAATACATGGTCAATTTTTGGAAATAAAACAAAATTTGATTTTTCTCGAAAACGGTCGACTTTAGAGCGTATGACCAAGAGTACCTTTTTTGTGTAGAAAACATTGGCGGTTCAAATGGGCGTCTCAAAACCGTACTTTTTCCAGTGGCGTAGACATTTTTTCTTCAATTTTATACACCGTGTATCTCGAAAATGGTGCATTTTAGAGGGTAAGTTAATAGAAACGTTTTTTCAAATTTTTGGATGAGCTATCACGTCCTGAAGTCCTGCGCATATATTATGAAACACCCTCTATTTCAAATATATTTATTATAGGGCGCGTTGGTCAAACTTGGGATTGAGGAGTTTGCACACTAAAGCAAATTCAATTTCATGTGTCAGTGGTCATGATTATTTATCGTTTTTCTAGTTTATTTATCAGTTTTTATTAACAAATTGTACTACTGAATACTGAGTGTTTTCGGGCATTATTTTTATCAATTTAATATGACTAGAACGTATTTAGTTTTGAATTGTGATAATGTGCCAGAAATTACATTTTACAGGTAAAATTTATTGACTTTAACAGAGTCACTCATTCATGTCTCATGTACTATTTACACCAGTTTATTTCTCTGTAATAATCTATTGTAATATTTTCAAAAATTTATGTTTGGTTTGCCTTCTCTCAATGATTGCTTGTTGAAAATACTGTATTTATTAGTGATAGGACTTTTTAAGAAAAGTAATTTTTGAACTAGTCCGGAAAAGTAGTAAAAAGTAATGAAAAGACTCAGTGAAAAGTAGTCTACCTTGGGCATAGAAAACATACAGTTAAATCTTCATCCTGGATGTTTTTTGAAAAACACTTTGGGAACAATATTTGTATTTTCATTTTCTTATGCAAATCATTTGTAAAATACTTCCAATCTTTGGATTTTTTTGATTATTTATTTCATGAGTTTATTTTAATAAGATATGAAATGAAAATTCAAAAACATCCTTAAAACATGTAAAAATTAGTAATCATTTGTCGTTTCTTCTTTTTTAAACTATATTTTGCATTTGTTTGTAAGAAATTCAGATAAATTAGTTACTTTAGTGTACTGAATGGGCAGGCAATACATTTTTGAAAAGTGTGTTTTGACTAGTCAACTTTTCAGACTTGTCCATAGACTTTCTTAGCGACCCATCACAAGTATTTATTGTCATACCTTTTTGTATATTTATAATTTACCTTGCATTTTCTAGTCTTGGAAAGAAACGGTATTTAGCCTGGTCATGGGCCATTGAAAGAAGTACCAATGAAAATATTAGCCCTACAAATAGAATTTGCTCAAAACACTTTCAGGTACTTTCCAGGTACCAGAAAACACTTGAAATATGAGCACACATGCCTATAGTTCTTGAACCAGTCTTACATGTACAGTAATATCTAACAATAATGGGATTCTCTTGAATTTCATTGTGCTGTATACTGCCGTGTTAATTCAAATGGCCGTATCTGTTTAATACTTGAACGTGAGAAAAAAAAGATTTTTCTGTTTTTTTCTAGGCCATCCTGGTTTTTCAAAAATTTAATGCATTTATTTAATGGATGGTATTTAAATGGTATTTGTTTTTATGTTAAAGAATGTAGTACAACACAAAGTACAAAAAATCAAATCGTACTTTTGACAGATACAAAATGTGATTTATATAACATTTATTTGAACTATTAAACATAATATCAAATGGCACTCCATTACTTAAAAATTTATAGTTTTTCTAGTAAATCTACATGAAAAAAAAAAAAAAAAAAAAAGTAAGTAATTTAAATGAATTTGGGGAGAGTCTTACAGTTTCTACAATTAATCGTCCTAAAATATTGATTCTTGATTGTTGTTAACTGGAATACTTAACTAGAATTTCAGTCAATTCTCTCGGATTATTGAACCAAGTCTTTTTATTATTGTTTTTACTTCCCTCGATCAGAGGGAAGTATTGTAATCTTGAAAAAGTCACCCTCCGAGATTATTTAAAATTTTCACGTTTCAGGATCCCTAGATTATGAAAAACATGTTTCCCCATTCCGTCGGTCTGTCTGTTGGCGCGATAGCCCAAAAACGGCTTTAGAGAAAAACTTCAAGTTTTGTATACTTCTGGTCAGTTATACACATGTTTAGCAGTTTTAAAAAAATAAATTATTTTTAACAGTCGGCAGATTTCGATTAAAATTGGCAATATTTTAGTCGGAGATAACAAATCCCAAATAAGTTTTAAAAAATTCAAAATGGTGTTGAAAGGAATCGTATTTAATCAGAAAAACTTCCCCTTGATTATAAATAATAGAAAGCGTCCTTTTAGTTTGTGTAACTGGACAAGTTTAAAAGCAGACAATCATTATCGTTCAATAATGATGAAAAAGGGTTTTCACGATTTTCCTCTTGTTCCGACCCAAACTCACACTTCGCGTCCGCTCGGTGTTCTTCGTCACGATCGTAAAATGTAAGTGCTTCGGGGTTCCCTGTTTTTACAATTTCTATATCAAGGGAAGTTCTGAGTAAAATATTTATTTTTTTTCTCTACGCGGCAGTAGCTGGAAATAGCCTAAAACAAAGTTAGATGAAAAAGCCCCATCTATGAAAATCTTTGCAGTTACGGCTTTTATCACTCACATTTGTAGTTACTGCTTTTCGATTTAATAAGTGTCAAGAAAAATCACTTACGACCAAATTTCTAAGCTTCAAATCTCCGGTTTTATAGAAGATTCGTCCATAAAAGTTATAGAGATGTATAAAAAATACATTGTTTCCATGCGTAGTGGTCATACCTTTATTTCAAGGAAAATTGTAGTTACGGCCATTTGAATTAACACGGCAGTATAAATGCTACACGTCGTAGTATACTGAACAAATTTGAGCAAGTTGCGCCATTTGGTTTCTGTTTGACATCCATTAAAAGCAGACAACTTCGTGAATCGGTGCCTCGATTGCTCACGCTCTACCATAAGCGCAACCCTGTGACCACTTTAAAGGAGTGTTTGGCGATGTTAAACAGCAATCTGAACGAGTTTTTGCGACGTTTGGTTAACGTAGACGAAACATGGATTCATCATACCACGTCAGAGTCCAAGGAATAATCAAGAAATTGGGCTTTCCATGTGAACGTGCACCAAAGAAGGCCAAAGTGGGTCTGTGTCAGCCAACAAGGTCATGGCTACAGTCTGTTGGGATGCACGCGGTAACATTCACATTGATTACCTTGAAAAGGGTAAAACGATCAGCGGCGAATATTATTGAGAACTTTTGGACTGATTCAATATTGATTTGAAGCAGAAAATACCACATTTGACGAGTATAGTCACCATGGCAAAAATTCATACCCCATCCAGCATATTTTCCAGATTTAGCTTCCTGCGATTATTGCCTATTTCCAAATGTAAAGAATTGGCTGAGTGGTAAGGGATTTGAGTTAAATGAAGAAGTCATCACTGAAACAAACATCTATTTATAATTATGGTTGGGCTGGTATATTGCTTTCATTTCAAAACCAGCCAGACGAAGTAACTTTTGATTTTACGCAAATTTAAGAAAAGCATAAAACATGCCACCTTTCATTGACGGGGACAAATTGTGCCCAGAAATCTAACATTCTGGAGCCTGGCATCAACTCTCTATTTTTTAAATAGCAAGTATGGCCAAGTAACTTCATTTTAAAGTTGGATAAAAACCTGTTACGTATCGTAAGTTTCACACTTTATTTAAAAGCTATATTAGGGATTTATTGGTAGCTTCAATTTATTATTTTAACTAAATGCGATTAAAGTTTGTATTTCATAACGTTAAAGGACTTCCTCTTTTTTTTATTTTTTTTAAAGGTGGTGTTTTTGATTTATTTTTAATTTACGTAATATCAATATGTTTTTTTTGACTGGCTGGTTTTGAAGTGAAAGCACTGTATACGACCCAAAACTTCATGAATTTATTCGTAAATGTAAAAACCATTTTTTTTCGTAAAGAAATTAATGAATTCATTTAGTGAATTTCTTCATAAACGTACTTTTTAATCCTTTTGAACCATTACATTATAACTTATTGTTTGTTATAACTGTTTTAATTGTAATATAATGAAACTCTCACCGACAACTTTCCAAACATCATAAGTGCTACTACTTTATAATACACCATTATTTAGTCAAACCAGCCATGGGATTCACAATGTATGTTTACAAAAAAGTAATATACAGTAAGAATGATTGAAAATAATTAAAATTGGCAACACCTATGCCATATTAAAGTTCAAGGTTATAATGTATATATCTCATTTGAAACCCATTGATCTTTTGCTGGGTTTTGCATCTGGGTAATCTTTGGTAATCTTCCTATAACTGTTTTTTTTTAAAGAGATTTATTTTTTACAATTCATAGATGATTGGAACATTAGAAGAAATAGCCATGCCACAAAACGGTATTTACCATCCAGGGATATCAGCCTTATCAGAAGCTTTTATTGCCAATGAAAATCTTCAAATTCTTAATCTCAATGACAACACTATTGGTCCAAAAGGAGCCGAAGCAATTGCGTCAGCCATCGTCAACAATCAACACTTGAAAGAAATCAACTTTGGTGACTGCTTGCTGAAAACCAAAGGAACTTTATTGTTGGCAGACGCTCTGAAAGATACTCATCTGAATCTAGAAGAACTGAATTTAGGTTTCAATGAGATGAAGAAAGATGGCGGTTTAGAGATAGTAGATGCAATGGCAAATAAGAGTAAATTAAAAAATTTGATACTCGATGGAAATCAATTTGGAGAGGAAGGAAAAGAACTGATAAAGAAAAAGTTAAAAGAGATAGGTGAGTTAAAAATTTAAAAAATATATAATATACCTTGTTTGTAAAAATATGGATTCAAATGGAAAACATTTTTACTGTAACTCAGAAAATGAAAATTTGATTCATCTTCTTTACAATTATATTTGTTATTTTTACTTACATTATGCAATTTTGCTGTTCTGTCCTTAATAGTGTCGCTGATTTACTTCTTAATTAAAATATCACAATTTCTTTTGGAACAGGAAAGTTTAATGTCTTGGGAAGCCTCGACGAAAACGAATCTGAGGAATCTGAGGATGAAGAAGATGGCGAAGGTGTGGAAGAAGAGGAAGACGACGATGAAGTAACTGAAGAGGGTGGCAGCGAAAATGATGAATTCGATGTTAAACATTCAGACGAGGAAGTCTTTGCCGCTCCTTCACCATTAAAAGTACAGTTTGGCGTCAAAGAGTTTCTGGAGACGCCTAGTGCTAATAATTACTTAGCTTTAGGACCAAATAGGATAGAAATTATAGTGAAAGAAGCAAAGGTAATACATTTAAAACAGAATCTTAATAATTAAATATATTTTTTTTATTTTTGTTTTGTTTTATGTTAAAAATAAGACGTAAAGAAAAAGCAAACGACAGAACAACTAAAATATAATGAATTTGTTACAAAAATTAAAAATTTATTCAAATTGTGCCATATCATCATATTTTGATCCCAAGATTCTGACAATTAATAATGGGTATTGTTAATTTTTCTTTTATTGCATCTTTTGTAGTTCATTCTTCATTATTTATTTTATTCTTTTAAGATACTTCGTTTCAAGGCTTTAATTTTTTTTTCTCCTTTAAACATTTCCCCACTATGTTTTAAATTGTTTGCTTTGGTCTACCACTCTTGTGCTTTAGATTCACATCAATGTCAAATACTTTCTTAACGGCTGATAACCCTTTGGGAGTACCCAATAAATATTTTTACTTCTTCTGTAATGGAAATATTCTGTTGATTCTCTTTTTAAATCTTCTCTTATTAACCTCCTTTATTATTTTGTTAAGTCTCCTTAGAAAGCTCATTCGTGGGGATCACATTTTAATTTTTCTTATTCAGATAATTCATCCATACATCCTAAAACTTGTCACAAGGATGTTTATTATCTTATCAACTGTTTAGGCTTCTGGTTAATTGAAAATATAGGTAAATAAAAATCAGTGCTTCCACAGGGGTTAGAGTTGTGTTATATTCTTTTTTCTGTCAACGAATTATCCAGATATGTAAAACAATAAAAATGTGCAGTAGTGTGTTTTATGGTCTTTATATACTGAACCTTGACATATTGTCTTATTTTTTTTAGAGTGGTGATGATATTTCTGTAGATGAGTACACAAGGACAATAATGAAAGTATCAGCTTTGAGTAACAACACAAAACCTGAGGTAGCTGAATCATCATTAGAGTGTGCTGAAAGATTGTACAAAGAATTGTTTAGTTGGGCACAAAAATCAAACCAGCTGTCCATAATTAACAATGCCATTCTAGTCAATCTAGGATTGATTAAGGTAAGTTTGTAAAGTCTCCTTACTTTGTTATTGGTAGATTTTTAACAGTTTTTCTTAATTTTTTTTTTTTAGAGTGAAGATAAAAAATTCAAGCCCACTTGGAACTTGGATGGTTGCCTAAACGTATTGCGATCGATTGCTGGCAAAAATTACATTCCAGAAAGTACAAAAGACACCGTCAGAGTATTTTTGAAGAGGCAAGTACAAGACGGAGATAAGACTATTCCATTATAACTGAATCGTTTTCGTTTCAGGGATATCGAAAACAATAAGGAATTTTTAACGGTTAAAAAAGACATTCTGTCGACTTTATCTAAGTGAAATTGCTCTTTGTTTAATTAATTATATTTATAATTTTATAATTAGACTTGTAAATATTTTATAAATGCATTTTTATTTAAACTGTATGGCAGGTGGCGAACTGCGTAAGGCTAGAAATCAGGAAACACGTTGGAGGCACACGGTTAAGTTTTAAGCCATATTGTTCAATGAACGTATAAAGGATTTCCGCTAATTAATGGTACACAACAAAACTGCAGATTCTTTGGGTAAAAATATTGGGATTTAACCAAACTTACCTTAGTCCAAAATTTGATAATAACCGAAATACAGGGTGTCAAATTTGTAATTTTCACTTAGTTTTTTTTTTCTTAATATTTCATTAACAGGACGATATCCAGGAACGAAATTACGAATTTAAGGGTTTTTGGAGGCGAGAGATTCAAATCCATTCTTAGTTCGAATGCCACTTGTAGAGGAAGCAACTTACGGTACAGATATCTGCGTATGATTTATTCAGTACACCTTTTCAAATTCCCAAAAAATGTAAAATTTTTATTGAAGTACGTGGCTAGAACAATAATAATAATGAGAAAACAATAAAAAAGAGGACATCTTACAACAATAAATGTTCAAAGCTTAGAATATAAAGTAGTAAGGAAGTGTGCCATATTTTCAATAGAAAACGTACGTAACAAAGTCGGCCATTTTGTAAAGGGTGTCTTAGAAATATATTCGTTTAATAATCCGTTCGCTGGCGCAATAGGCATATTCCCGAGAAATAAGGCAGTTGGCAAACGGTGGTCGACAGTGTTAAGTTTTAGTTGCAATGGAGCAATTTACGGGACTGCAACGTGCTTTTTTGTATTTTTGTGATTTATCGGGACGGTGGTGTAGCGGTCAATCGCGCTTATATTCATTTATAGGCAAGTTTATGAGTCTGAGACTGCTGGGTTTCGAATCCCAGACCAGACCATGTGGATTTTTAATTAAATTGCATGGTTCGGTTTAGGATTTGATGTGTGGCGTATTAATAGAAATTCAATTTCTGTTGATATGACATGCAGATTAAAAAAATTCGCCATACATTACCGTCTCGATGATGGTGGGTGAGGTTTTCCGGGTTTTCCTCACCTGTAAGTCAAATGGCACCATCAATCATCTTTAAGTCGCCCGGAGCGCCACGGCAAATAATAATAATAGCCGCCCCTTCCCCTACACAAGTCGTTCAGTCGACTTCAGGGGTTGAATTTCACTCGTAAGGGGGTGAATTAGGGAGAGTATTATTATTATTATACAAACAATGATTCTTATATTCTTGTACGTCGTTTGTACAGAAATCATTATAACATAGTGTGACGCGAAGCCGACTGTTCTGTTTACTTATCTTGCCTGCGGTATGAAGTCTAGCGCGGCCATAAAGAGACAAACGCACTGTTTCGAGAAGCTACCGGAGTGATCCCTGTCCAGCGCATGAGTCATACAGAGGGAGTTCCCGAATGTTTTGGGTCGCCTAGAGTGTTCTGGTACAGAGCTGACTTTATATAAATAACGCGAGTTTGTCTATGGACGACATGTTTCAATATAAGTGCTGTATAGGAAAGATAAATTGTAATAAATTAGAATTGTAAGTTATAACAGTGTAAGTATTATATAAATTAATTAGTACGTTATAAATAAATTAATTATAAATAAAATGTTTAAAATAAATATTTTTAAATTAAACGTTACAATAGCAAGAATGAAAGATATCATTAATAAATTAAAAATTGATTGTTATGTTTCCTACTCCGAGTTCCAACTACACATCTGTAAATGTCATTTTTAACTTTTATTATTAGATATTAGCTCCGAACAATTACTACTAGAGAGAGTCTTGCTCCTTCCCTGCGCAAAATTTTGTAATCTCGGGGAAATCCCTCACCTGTAATTAGCTTATTTAATCAGGAGTGCGTTTAGAAACCTCGTACAGCGCGTGTTACCACATACATTAGAATGTGCCGTGCGAGGTTTCTAAACGCACTCCAGCGTTGCCAAGTTTGACAGCGCCAGTTTTGACACTTTGAAACCACCGGATCGCTTAGTTATAGGATTAGAATAAGATTTTGGAGAAGTTAAAATGTTAAAATGTCATTGACTGTATGGGACTGGCCTAAGGAACCGTGGACTCGGTTGCACGCTGATTTCTTTGGACCCTTATTCAATAAAAAATTTTTAGTCATACAAGATGCCACATCAAAATGGATTGAATGTTATGAAATTTTTAATTTGACAGCTACTTCCACCATAAAATTTTTTCGATAGCTTTTTGCAAGATTCGGGTTACCAATAGAAATTACCACAGATAATGCCACAACTTTCACTTCTGATGTGTTCCAAAATTTTTTATCTTGTTGCGGTATAAAACATTTGACTAGTGCGCCTTACCATCCTGCCACCAATGGTTTAGCGGAGAGTGCAGTGAAAATTATGAAAAATGCTATTTTAAAGGCCCGTCATGAAAATTCTACTTGTGACATACATTTAATTATACAAAGATTTTTATTTCATCACCGTAATACTCCACACACCACCACGGGTGAAAAGCCATCAAAATTACTTTTAAATCGTAAAATCAGAACCAAATTCGATTTTTTATTACCTTCTGTTAGTTCGTTTGTGGAAAGTAAGCAAAATTACCAACAAAAGTACTACAGCTCCAACAGGAAGGTTTATTTTAAGAAAAATGACCGTGTTTGGGCTCGGGATTTTAGGGCAAGCAAAACACAGTGGTGTGCCGGAAGCATTAAGGAAATTTTAGGTAGAAGGACGTACATTATAAAAACTGATAGTGGAATGGAATGGAAACGTCACGCAAATCAATTAAAACCTAATTATTATTCACTGGATAAAAGTGACGTTTAGATTCTCCCACGCTCAGAGATATGTAAAGAGAAGACTTTGGTAAATGAAAATGTAAGTGTTAGTGAACCAGTGGTAGCTCAAAGTGGGGTTAATAGAAATTTAAGACGGCGAAGTGGGTTGAAACCACCGGATCGCTTAGTTATAGGATTAGAATAAGATTTTGGAGAAGTTAAAATGTTTGTTAATTTTTTTTTAAGGGAAGAGGTGTTAGGTACACCCTGTATAATTCATATAAAATGTTTTTTAGTTTTTATTTCCAACTAGTATGTGTCGAGACTCGAGACTAAAAAGAATAAATAGTTCCTCAAATTAGTGACTTTTATTTATACTAAAATCTGTGTTAAAATAACATAAACGGCGATAGTAACATATATAACACTGACAAATATCAATTTTTGATTTGTTTTTTACGAAAAATATAATTATTCTTAACGTTGTAAATGTATATTTAAGATTTATTATGTTCAATTATATGATAAAAACATGCTTTATGTGTTAAAGACCTGTTAAAAATGCTTCTTTAAGATTATATCATAAGTAAGGGCACCGCCACTAAATAACGGAGGATAATATAGCGCCGGGTGAAATGGCGTAGGACTAAATAGCGCAGAGTCAAAATAGCATTAGAAAAAATAGCGTTGGTCAAAATAGAGCAGGATAAAATACCTCTATAACAAAATAGCTGAAGAAGAAACAGCGCGCTGACGAAAACACTAAGGGAAAATAGCGACTGGAAATAATATCGTTGGACAAATTAGCAGTAAATAGCGAAAAACAACGCTTTTCAATTCAAAATAATAAGCTTATGTTAAATTCAAACAAAATAATATTTTAAATTGGCACAACTTATGCAAACGGAACAGATCTATATTATAAACTTAGATTATGGGCTACAACATGCATAAGATGCTTTTCTACATTTGGTAAATGTATATTCGGCTGCCATAACTTTTAATCTACTCTTAATTTTAACATATTTATTTCCTGGTTGCTCCTTATGCCTAATCCCACTTCTGTACCTATTTAGCCACGTATATTTCCGCAGCATTTTGCTCTTTTTTAAGCTGCTCAATTAACCGATAGCTTGTGACAATCAATTGTCCTCCGGAAGGCTTTGTGCCATGCTTCCACGGAATTATTAGTCCGGGGAAAATTTGTTTCCAGTCTGTTGAACATATTCCATATTTTTGATATGAAATCTAGCCTGAACTCCTAAAGTCCTTCTGTCTACATAGTTATCCTCGTTATCCTTCCAATAATCAATCAGCGATATCAAATATCTTGGAAAATGTTCGCTAATTATTTCGGCAGCAGCAAATTGTACATCTCGCTGTGGAATGAAACAAGGCTATCAACATTTTGCATTTCACTTGTATATCTACATTTTCCCGATATTGTTTTGGATTTTTCGCCACAAGTTTTGTGCGAGATGAAAGAAACAACCTACAATTGTGCAACCAGGAAATACCGCCGAAAATGAGTTAATTGTGGCCAGTTAGAAATCGACTAAAATGCTGTTTATTTCTTAACAGAGCACATACCATTAGTACTGATTTACCATCTATTATTGCGTATATGGTAAAATAATTGAGTAAAATATTCTGGACATACCCTGAAAGTACCGTCTATGGCCCAGTGTGGATGTTCTTTCAATACACTTAAATTGTTACGAGTACCAAATACAAACATTCTATTACTATCTTCTTGTCCAGCCCATAGAAGGAAGGTTTGACCTTCATTTGTTAATTTGCTCTATTCATCAATGGTAATTTGTGATAACGTCTGATTATTTCCTGATTTTATTTATTATCGTAATCATGAAGCTTCGGGTAGTTCTTTTAACAGTGTAAATGGGAGGCATATATTTCAAACATAAGAACTTTTAGACAAGGTTCACCCACTCGTTTGTCCCCTCCAAGTCAAAGTAAGTCAGTTGTTGACTTAACCCTAATTTCAAAAAATCTAGCTTGTTTAATGGTAGACCATTTATGACCCAGGGTCTGGTGATTATTTCCCAATACTCTATAAAATGGGAAGTTTTCCAGATACCTATTTTTCCAAAATTTATGAAAAGAAATCTTTCGAGAGCCGATTGGAATAGCTACCATAATAGACTAGAAGTCCTCTTAGCTTCTTCCCCAAATGATAACTATGATTTCTTTGTCAACGCACTTAATAGTACTGC